AAAATTGATTAGCTTATATTTTACTCGGCTCCTCTTACAAAAACAAAACAGCAAAAACTTGCTGTTTAAAATATTTTTTTAATTATTTCCATTTCCCAAAAATGCATTACACAAGTCCCTACTAAAATGTATACTGCTATATGCTTGCAAATATGAGTTTTTATTTATTATAATTCAGATCGAATGAAATATTATTTACTGAAAAAAAGAAACAAATTAATTTCATAATCAAATAATTCATAAATAAATACTTTTCATATATACATGGACTTACATTATAAAAAATTCTATAAAAAATTCATAAATAAAATATACGAATTTTACTAATTTATGTATATATATATTAAGAATAATTACTGAAATATAAATTTATATACATAAGATATGTATCGGAAAAAGTTGATTTCCATTGTTTTACCAGCTACGGCTGATAATGGGATATGCGATAATGTACAAGTAAATCGAAATATTTTTAACATGTAAATTTATTCTCGTTTATGCTAACATAACACGTAAGTTTACTGTATTATGAAAATGATTTATATTTATGCTATGAATGTACATTTTTCTCAATCTTTCTTACAATTAAAAGAGTCAAAATTCATTTATAATTCATTTAAATTTCATGTTTTAATGAATACATCAATTAAAACATTATAAAAAAAAAATTGTTTTACATTAATCCTCCAAGGCTTTTTTTATGTTGAACTGTTTTAAATTTAAATATTGAATATAATAAAGGTTAACTAGTTACTAAATGAGATTGAATAAATTAAGTAAATAAATGAGATACCAATTTTTTTTATACAACAGTTTTTAAACATTGGCCATTTATGTATTAAATTCTTTTTTAAATTTATATTTACTGTAAATTCATATTAAGCCATCTGTAAAATTAAAATATCGAAGAACTACAGTAATTAATAACTTTCAATATATTTGTATATTTCATGAATTTATTTCATTTACAATGAACTTATTTCCCTATAATTGAATTTATAAACATAAATTACCTTCCTTTATTAAAAATTAATTATAATCCATTATGAATAGAAAGAAAAATAAATTTACGTATATTTACCTAATTTCCGCTAAACTCACTGTTGTAATTAAAATTTCAAATTTTTCCAGTACATTCTTTGAAATTAACAAACCATATTGTACAAGTAATAACATTAATATATAGATAATTAACAGAATTTTAATGAAAATCCATTTATATTTACTATCATAATATACTATATATATATATATATATTATTGTATATAATAATTATTATTAGCATTAATTATATTATTCATTTATTTCTATTATACGAGACGAAGATTACGAAGTGAACAAACATATTAAAATATTTTAACATTTACAACGAATTGACTTATTGTAGATTAAAAAATGATGCTTCTAAACAAATTTACAAATCGAAACATAAAAATATTTCTATTAGATATAATTTTCGAATTATTTATTTTTTCATTATTATTAGTTTGATGATCGTGTCACATCTGAAGGACATTGTATTTAATATTTGCATTATATTATTTACGATTGAAAAACAATTTTTCGACATTAATTTTAAAAATCTTCAATTATCGATAAGCAATATGGCTATGTATTATGTCGAGTATCGTTCAATAGTTAAAAGCAGCGTAATTATAATTAATTTTGATAGTTAACTAACCAAAGTAGAGATGCGCGAACGTTAAAAAAACGAGAAAATATTATATATTTGTAGTTTATTCTATTGGAGTAATTTTTTTTAAGTATTCGATGCTCGCTAATTATGCCTGATACTCTATTGAAGACTTTGACAATTGTTATCAAATGATAAATTATCATCAATGAATTCAATATTACTTTCAGTTGATGAATAGAGTATTATTGGATTTAGATGAATAATAAACAACTACAATAATATGTATTGAAAATAAATTAACATTATTATTATTATTATTATTATTATTATTATTATTATTATTATAAAACAAAACTATTGGTATTTATTAATATTTATTTTATTAGGTAATAAACGCTTTTAATAGTCGTTAAACTGCGAGCATAACAACAGTAAATTGCTTCAATTTGAAAATAATGAAGACAAAATGAATTATTAGATTGTTTAAATATAATAAAATGTCATCGATTCTAAAAATATCCTACCATTAAAAAAATAGTTTAATACTATTTAGTTGAAACAGAAAGAATTTTAATTTTCTCTTTATTCAATTTTTAAACTTCATTAAACTAATAATATTTTTAATTAAATAACCAACTGATTTAAAGATATTTTGACTAATGGTTTGTATAAAATTAACAGAAATCATGGAAATTCGATTGTTATTTCAACTACTTCTAATAGAAATAAAATTCATTACCTAAATGAAAAAGAAAAAACATTAAGTAAAATAATTTGATAAAATACGAATATTGATGCTCATTATTAAATGGAGGAATATAAAAAACAAAAATTCAAAGCAATTTTTTTTTTAAACATTTATAAGCATTAAATTATGGTATCACTTGGTAAGATGTAAGTTGGAAATTAATAAACCGACAAAATGTATTAAGTCTGCATTAACTTTATTTTATCATTTCCATCTTTTACATTCCATCGAATTTTTACATTTCATTGTAAGAAAATTTATATCGCTTTTATAATATTTCATTTACCTTTTTTAAAAAAAAAGGAGAATCTAAAAATGCAATGCATTTTAAAAACATAAGAAATTTTCAGTTTAATATTCCTTTTAGTATATTAATACGAAATATTTATTTTCAATGTGACACAAATATTTAAAGGGATGTACAATACCAATACATAATACCAATATCAATGGAAGATCTAATTAATCAACAGCTCAAATAAAATAAAATTTAAATTTACAATAATTTTATATGACAATAATCTAATTTCCCATTAAGCTTTAGGATATACATATACATATATATATATATATATATATATATATATATGTATATCGATTTTTTTTTCTTCTTTTTTTTTAACGATTTAAATGTGAATTCTTAATATTATATTTTAATAAATTATTTTTCTCCTAATAAATAAGTGCCTTTTGAATGAAGATGAATTTAATTTTCACGTAAATTCAAGTATTACTTTCAGTCAAATGAACATTGATACTGTACATTCTCTTAATAACATGTTTTTTCTCTGTAAAACAGAATGAAATAATGAAATAATATCTGTTGGCAGATTTTACAATATTATCATGGATAAGATTTATTTCATTAAAAACATAAAATATGTTTTTAGTAATTTTAATCAACAGAAAAAAAAAGAAAAAAAAAACTTATATAACAAACTTTTTTGAAAAAAGCTGGTTGAAGATTTAATAATTTATTAATCTTAAATGCTGTAAAAATATCGACGGTTTTTTTTTTTAATATATGGTGTGTTTAACGTCCAATAAGTAAAATAACAGATTTGAAAAATGACATAAAAAAAAAAAAATTCAACCATAATTAGAATATCAACAAGACAATGAAATAAAATTTTTGTACCTATTTATTTGCTATCAGATTTCTTCGACAACTTTTAAAATAAAAATTGTCAAAGAAAAGTGCGTCGATTGCATTATCTGCATTCCTTTTATTGTTTCACTTTTATCTTTTACATATCAGTGATTTAATAATACGACACTTCTCATTTAATATTTTTACATCTCTTAATAAATTTCCGTGTGTGCCTTTTGCATAATTTGACATGCCTATTTATATATCCAATACATACTTCCACCACAAAATACATTCCTACAATAGGCATTTAATCTTCATATTTGACTCGCCCTGTACATCTTTCATGCTTCTTTACCAGTATCCTCTCTCAAACGAGATACTAAACTTTTACAAATACATATTCATACATGTACGTTTTTTCATGTTACTTTGCTTTCGTTTTAGGTCTAGGGCCTAGGTAAGGGAACCAGGATAAGGCGAAGGATAGGAGGTGTTAAAAAGTACTGAGGTAATATTTTAGGATTCGGGAATTATATTAAAGTTCTAGGGAATTAAATTATAATTAGGAAATACGATAATGGTAAATTCATTAGTAGTTAAGGAAAACAACAATAAAACTGAATAGCATTTTTCATTGCTTTCCTTTAATCGACGTGAAAATTTTTTTTTTTTTTTTTTTTTTTTTTTTTTTTTTTTTATGATAATGATTGTTCATCAAATATTCAAATATTAAGTTTTTTAATATCCTCAACATATCCGACATTCAACGCTTTCTTGCATTTTTTTTCTTTCCCTCGTTAATTCGTTTTCCTATAAATACTTTTTTTTCTTTTCTTTTTATTTATTTATTTATTTTTTTTTTATTATTATTATTATTATTATTATTATTTTTGTTTTTAATCAATTAGCGTGATATAAGTTGATTCTCTGCATATTTTATATATTGCAATTGATTAGAGTGCTAAATTGAAAACGAAAAGTAATGCAGATTTTGAACAGGTACGATCATGATTTATCACCACAAAATGTGGAACGTTATATATTTTATCTTACTTTCTTTGAGAGGAGAAACGAAAAACTTACGAAAAGGAAATCTTCATCAAAACTAAAAAATCGGAAAACACTCTTACTATACAATTTTCGAAAAAAAAATCCCCTTAACTTCTTCTCGCAAGACACGAGGTACAAGGTATACACATGGTCAGTAACTTTTTTTTTTACTTTCTTTTCATTTTTTACCACGTGAGGGATTCGAGTTAACAGTAATTGAATTATCTAAATAAATTGTTATTATCCATTTCATCGTCGCATTGCATATGTTTGCTTATTGGCAAGGGGCTAACCATGCCATCTTGGGTTCATGCATAACAAATTCCACATGCCAAGAGGACCCCTATGCCTATTTCTCTTAACAATTTATTTACCCATTCTGCGACGAATTACTAGACTAAAACACAACTTGATGCTGCTTATGATGAATCACCCTCGGTAGGTATATATATTTATATACACACATATATATGTATATGTATATATATATATATATATATATATATATATATATAGAGACTTCACAATGTCAGTGGACGTAACACCGTGAGCGGTCGAGACTTGAAGCTGCTACTGTGCCTTCTAAACGAAAATAATTTATGGTATTTATATTATTTATAACCAAACTATTTTTAGCATATAAAGAAAAAAATGTATAAATAATAATAGTGACAATGATGATAGTGATAATGATAATTATCATAATAATAGTACCTTTTCCTTTCATTTCGTAAGAGCATCATGGGTTGATCCCAGCCCACCTGTTCCAGATTAAAGGAATCCTTTTCCATTTCATCGTTATCATTTATATTAGATTCCTCAACAGCATTTGATGAAAAGTACAAACGATCTTTCTCGGACAGAATTCTACGTTTGACTGGAGATCGAAGAGGCTCTGTTTGTATACTTTTATCGCATTGCCGTACCCTAAATTTCAAAGTGAGTTTTGAAGGTACAGTAACCGATGTGTTTTTACTCTCCCGATATTCCATATATGGACTTTCCCCATCAGGAAGATAAAATAAGTTTCCTGATTCAGACCTACTCAAACATTCATATTTTATTTATTGCAGAAGAAAGCACATACAATGTATTCAGCTACAAACCTGCGATATGCAACTCGTTCAAGAGTATTGTTTACTGGAAATGTAGTTCCGTCAGCCCAATGTCCATCCTCTTTGATTGGACGAAAATGAGTACGAGCAGAAGTCAGCAGATCTTCATCAGGTTCTGGTACACAAGTTACCTTTTGTTGCAAACAGGATTCTTTACCAATGGTAACAGGACTCTTACATGGGACAACCGGGAAGAAGCAGCTGCCTGTACGAGGACTGTGACCCAGCGTTGCAATATTGCCAATACCACCCCAGCACCAAAGACCATCACCAGCTGAGTCTGACCATGACACATTGCCATCTATAAAATTGTTTTGCACATTAATGTAAATATTATATATTAATAATTATATTTATTTTTTAAATTTGCTGTTTACACACTTGATATTTCATTAACTTAACGCGTATCTGGGCTTACCTGGTGTCTTGTCTTTAATTCTCGATTCATCAGCATAATCTTCGATACTAAACAAATCAACGTCCCATGGGATAAGCGGCGAATCGTTAATATGCGATTCTCGATAAATTGGAGTTTCCTCTGTACTTTTGTCATCTTTAATTACAGAAAAAGTTGCATCAATATTATCCATTGGCCACAACGGTCCCGATGGAATTGAAAGAGACGGAGCTGCCCATATGGAATCAGTGCCCTGAGAAATCCCTGAACCAGTATCCCATAACGCCTCGAGGCTTTGATCAAATTTCGCTTGTAACTGCGCCAATCGTAACTGATCCAATGCGAGCTCTTGTTCCTTTTCTCTCTCTCGCTCCATTGATTTGGCAAAACCGTAAACTTCCTTTGCTTCTGCCATTTGTGATTCAGTGGCTTGCTAAAATCAATTATTCAAAGGTTTTAGCAGATGTTTTAAAAATTAATAAAATCAAAAATTACCAATAACTTGACAAAAATGAAACCTACAATGGTTATCTTATTTTTCTTCTGCCGAGTCCTGTTATTATTGTTTTTACTGTTACTGTTGCTGATGCCGTTGTTCTTTTTATTATAGTTATTATAATTATTATAATTATTATTATTATTATTATTATTATTATTGTTATTATTATTATTAATCTTATTGTTATTGTTATTATTATTGTTGTTGTTGTTGTTGTTGTTGTTGTTGTTGTTGTTGTTATTATTATTGTTGTTGCTGTTGCTGCTTAAGTTGCGTTCTTTCCGGTATGGAAACTTTTTTGGGGTGGTAGGCTGCAGGGCCGGAAATGCCGCATAGTATCTCAGGGCCCGATCGCGAGGAGTGAGCGTCTCGAAAGGAACCTTTGCCTCGGCATCAGTGGCAGTTCTAAGTTCTTCTTGTTCATCCTTTGAATCACCACCTTCTAGATCTCGTAATTTGGCGCATAATTCGTCGACTAACGTCTCTACTCCGCACTTCTGAAATAGCGCTTGTATAAGAATCAAAAAATCCTGCGCTCAGGTAAGTCGCAAAAGTGATGAAATATACGAGAACTCTGGGACTTCTTACTTGATCAGCAGCACTTGTAAGGCATTGTACGACAGCTCGGCGTTGCTCCCTATCACCCTGAAGTGGCAGTTTTGACCGGGACTTGGTTTTCGAACGACGTCCACCTCCTCCATTCCTACCAGTGCCCTCGAGCGGAGGAGTGAGGGCCGAGTCGGGGTGACGCAAAAGGCTGAGTACGAAGCGCGAGTACGCGACTGGGTCTATGCCCAACGCATCCAGGCGCTGCTCCAACCACTGGCGCAACTCCTCCTCGGCCCTGGTGCCGAATACCCCTCCACCGCCAGGGGACGCCGCTATCCCGACCAGGTGCAACGCCGGATTCCTCATTCCTCCAAACAGGGGAATCTCCTCCTGGACCCACAAATTCTCCAGAGCTTGAATGCTCCCGGGGCGATCATTCTCTCTCTTTTATTCTGATATCATTACGTCTCTGCATAAATAACAATAATCCGACATCAGGATTTTAACATTTCACTACAATCGAATAAATTTTAATCGTATGGAGTCTAGAATTACATTCATGACAGACCATTTTACACTCTATCGTTGCTCTCGTCCATCTTAAAACTAAGGTTATACAACGAATAGAGTGAAACGAAATTAAATGAATACGCTTGTGATTCACTTACTTGTAAAGTAGTGTTTGTTGTCTGTCCTTCTGTTTCTTGGCTGTATTAAGTTCCACCACCAAATTATTTCTTTAATGTGAGCTTGTCCTTATAGAAATGTTTTAGTATTGCTAATTTTCTTTTAACTTAGGCTTGTTGCAACTTATTTGTCGTATAATTTGGTTACTGTTGCTTAGTTCCTGGCCCTTCTATGGAGTAAGCATGTGGTGGATGTTTTGTCGTCGCAAGGATGACAGACCTCAATGCGAAATGAGAAGTACTGTCTCCTTCCCATTTTGACTCTAAAATAAAAATGAAACAAATTAACTCAAAAAGATGCAATATTACAATGACGTATGCGAGCGCACTGCGTGTCCGTCTGCGTTTGCGCGCGCGCGTATCCGTATATCGAGGTAAAAAATAATCACTAACAAAAAAAAATTCCTGGAGGTGGACTAATATTGTTAATAATATATAATTTTATTTATAACGCAGCTAAAGTCCATAACACGAAAGAGCTCGACGATTTGTGAACGACTAAATTTTATCTACACGCTAGAGAGTTTGTCACAAATTTTTGAACTTTTCATTTGCTTTAAGTGAAGCTTAGTTTGACTAATGGGCATAGAAATTGTTAAACGGAGAATAGAAACGGATAAAGTGAAAGATAAAATGAGATAAATAAATAGAAGGTAGAGGTAGAGGTAGAGGTAGAGGTAGAGGTAGAGGTAGAGGTAGAGGTAGAGGTAGAGGTAGAGAAAGAGGAATAGTAAGTATGCGAGTACGAATATGAGTAAGATTAAGAAGATTAAGATTAAGAGTAGTAAGAGTAAGAGTAAAAGTAAGAAAAGGAGAAAGAAAAAGAGAAAGCGGTTGGCGGAACTGTCATTCACGTCCCATAATTGACATTCGTGAATACTTCTTTAAAACAATACAAAATTAAATATTCCGATAAATATTAAAAAATCCGAAAAAATAAATATATGAATGTTAAATAGTAAAACTTCAATGAAAAACAAAAACAATAAAAACAATAAATTATAACAGTTGTAGAAACAAATACGAACGAAAAGCATAATAAGCAAGTCTGAATAGTAATGGATAGACACGCTTTCCGTCACACGTACATTTGAATAATTTTAATTTACATCGCACATAATTTGTTGCGTATTTATTATGCGTGCATATATGTATGTACGTACGGATGTTTAAGAATTAAAGACAAAAGATTAAATGAAATAATTTTCATTGCATAAACGTGAGAAGAAACTATTTCAATCCGATTAAAAAAAAAAAAGCGTATTTTATTAATATTTACGTAATAATTTGATTTTGCTCATTTATTTTAAGTCCAGTAGGATTTATTTCTTTATCTTTGCATCAAGTTCGAAATAGATCCGTCGTTCAATAACAAAGACATAAAATTCGAGGTTATAATAATTTTATTTTTACATTTTCATTGGAAAATTTATGCTGCTTAATAAATTTTATAATTCAAAATAATATTAAAAATGAATGCGTGTGCGTGCGTGTTGTCTCTTTCTTCTTATCTTTTTATTTCTATTATTATTATTTATATAATTATTTATATATTTATTTATTTATTTATTTATTAATTTATTTATTTTTTTTTTATTTTTATTATTTTTTTTTTTTTCTAAGAACGGTTAATGCTATTTGTACTACGGATAATAAATAGAAAGAGAAAAATAATAAAATACCGATTAAAGTAAAACTATAATTGCGCGGATAGATTATAGTAATGACAGTGTAATAACATAATAACTTGTTGATGTTAACGATAATGTCCTTGCATTTGGACAAACAAAAATTAGACCATAGCCGTGGTGTGACGACACTATTAACAATTGTAATGACACAGATATTGTAAACACATCTAACGACCAAATACGAATTTTCACAAACAAAAACATAGCACAGAAGACAAGAAAATCGTGTCGTATTCGATAAGAAAATACCATTCTTCTCGTGGATCATTCATTGAAATATAAGAAAATAATGAACATAGAGACAGTCAAAAAGTTGTTAACTCAGCCTACGGGCAAAATTGTTAAAATTGTCAAGAAAAGCTTGCTTAAAATGAAGCGAAAAGCAATGAGAAATGACAAATCATAAATGAAAGGGGCCATGATAATACGAAAAATTAATTCGAGATAAAATAGTGCGCAATCGAAGTTATAGATTGTCGGCTAAGTGTGGTGAGGAGGACGTGGTGTGCGAGAGAGGAAAGGCAAAAACAGAACAGAACGTGCAGCGTTTGTATTGTAGGCTGAAAATTCTAGGTCTAGAGCGAAATAGACGGAGAGAAATGGTATATAATCGAGACAACAATCTACAGAAGACGATGAGATGAGAGAAATATGAATGTGAGTAGTGCCTAAATACAAGAAATATAGAATAGAAATGAGGAAGCGCGGAAAACGAGTATGCGAAGACGGCGCGAAAGAGGACGGAGCGAGAGAGATGGAGGAAGCGGGCTGAGAGCGCTTATATATGAATAAATGTATGTATGTGCGTGCGTACGTGCGTGCGTGCGAGTATATATATATATGTATGCTCGCGAGCGTGTTTGTGTGTATCAGTCTCTCTCTCACTCTCTCTCTCTCTCTCTCTGTGTTCGCGCGCGTGAGAGAAAGAGGAGGGAGCAGTGCGTGCGTGCGTGCAAAGTTTTGTAAGCCTATGTGTGTGTATGAGAGGGACGGAGGAAAAGAGGGACAATCACGTCAACTAGGTAAGAAAACGGTGAAAACGAGCATTGCACTTATCGTGACAAAAATTAATGTATATACGAATACCCAAACAAACTCGACACAACCTCTTATCCCTCGATAATAACTGCGGGTATAATTCTCTTGCGCGCGCGCGCGCACACAGACACACACTCCAACACGCGCGAGCACGCACGCATGCACGAACGCGCGCGCTCACGCAAGCACGACGCACTCACGCACTCACGCAAGCACGCACGCACGCACGTACGCACACGCGCAATCGGACACTGCGGCACGTTTCCGTGAATCACGAAGGCCCGTATGTGCGCGCGCGAGATGTACGTACATCGACGAAACAGGCGAAACGCATGACATTGCGAAACGAGGGCCGAAAAGGCAGAGACTTGCCGAAAAATCGACGTCATTGCGATGGCCGAACGATAGGACACTGCTAAACGAAACAATAATCACCGTTCAACGAATAAATCGACGTACCTGCATGCCCCGAGAGATGATTTTCACCCCGGCCTTCTCTACACACCCCACTTGGTGAAAAACATGGCGGGTCACTAAGTCCGAGCCTCGCCTCCCTTCTTCCAGATTTTCACGCAGTGGCGTCACGCGCGCCACTCGCGCCCCGCTCCTCTATTTACGAAACTTTTCGACTCGTAGCTTCCTTTTTATTTATTTACCTTCGACCGCGCGCCTCCTCGTCCGGACGATTATTTTTAATTACCTTACCGTCCGATCGAGCTGCACATCTCTTGCACTGCTATTGCACCAAACTTGGGAAATACATTCTTTACGACGTATAACCGAATACATACTTCACAATTATTCAAGATGCGCGCGCTCCCGATAACTCCAATTTCAAGCTTCTTTCCCTTATTATTCTCATACTCCAAGCAATTGATCACGTCAATTTGACATTCCTTATCTCTTACACTTAACGTTTCTCCGTTTCCACCCTGTACCACACTCGTCTCACCCCCCTAAGTATTATTAAAAGTTTGTTAAGCACAACAAAGTTGAAGAGAGAGAAAAACAAGAGAGAGAGAGAGAGAGAGAGAGAGAGAGAGAGAAATAATGAGAGTATGAAAGAAGGGAAGAGAAATGAAAAGCTATGACAGATGAGACGACATTAAGAGCATAATAAGCAGTCACGCAAAATTTACCATCGGACGAAGGGCCGATCGGGCACTGTCGATCACCTACGTCCCTGGTATTGGAAATGTTGTGCATCGGCGCAATCAGCGGCCGCGCATCGCGCCTTTCTTGATGCGACAATGCACCTGCAACATCATGGCGTTCCACGGTCGTCGAAAATTGAATAATCAACGACGATCAGAGGCGCGAGCGCGTAGGCGTCCCTCGCCCGATGCCTCTTAACGCGCGCAAAGAGCATTGGAAGTTGCACGGGTGCGCCTCGGGTCACGACTTCTTCGATATTTTCAATTTTCAATTCAAGTCCCCGAGCTTCCATTACGCTCGCGATATTCGAAAAGTCGGTTACACTCGTACTTTGGCACGAGCTTTGCCGGGGTGGTAGTAACACGTGGCCACGTGTTAATAAATGACATCTCTCTCTCTCTCTCTCTCTCTCTCTCTCTCTCTCTCTCTCTCTCTTCCTCTTAGTGTCGGACTTGGAGCGCGTCGGAGTGACGCACCATCGATATTCTAAATTCGATTGGAATGTTGAAGCGAGCCGAACGCCGCCGAGCCACACGCCCAATGGGAAATTTATAATCTGCCGGTGAATCGTACCTTATTTTAGGGTCTCTGAGCCAATCGAGCGTACGTGCGCTCGAGAATCGCTGGAGCTCAAAAAAGCGCCATCTTTTTTTGTTCACGTAACCTTATTCGTGCTTCGCCCGCCCCACCCTCGCGCCGGTCAACGACAATCCGACGCCGCCATCCTGACGGCATCCCGCCTTACTCGAGACTCTTTTCAGCCGTTCGGTTGGCTAAACTTGCCCATATCTTTTCTTTTCTAAACTCTGCGTCGAATTCCGAATGCCCTGTGTATGACCGAGTATTTTTGTCTTTATCTAGCGCGCTGGCACTGCGCCGCCTGCGTCCTTATCTAAGCACTACGTCACTGGCAATGTTATGCGGAGAATGTGAGATTGCTTTTGACGAATCGAGGCGGCAAACTAGAACGAACCTGTTAAAATTCATCTAACGGTTTTATTAAAAATATTCGTATGACAAAGTCGTGCGCTTGACGAGGTGTCAGCTCTTACGCCTAATAATCCTTTAACATTACTTTTCATTTGCCTTTAAACTTTGTCATGAGATACCTTAAATTAAATTAACGTGTTAACGTGAAAAGAGGTAAATAAAGAGCATTTTTAATGGAAACTGTTGTGGCTCGATGAGGCAATGAGATAAAATGACTGACAGCTCATACGAAAAGGTCTTGGAAGATTTAAAAAATTTTATAACGGAGACAAAATTACTTTTAGAAAAAGTTACGAAAATGCGTAGTAAGTACATCATTCAGTGCAACGTTACTTGCAATTAATAGCATGTATTTGTTTTCTTTTTTTTTGTTGTTTTTTTTTTTTGTCTTTTCTTATATTCGTGTCAGTTGAATGTAAGGAGTCGCAAATGAATATGCTTCGATTATTCAATCCTAAATGTATTAAGATACTTGAAATTTCAAGCGAAGCATCTTCCAAAAATATGAATCAATTTAACAAGAATAATAAAACCGCCCAAATGAATATTAAAAGAAGTTATAAGGCACAATGTGAGAAAAAAATGATTCACAAGTAATTGAAAACGCTTGGCAAAGGACAATGTGCATTATATTGTAATTATTAATTATAATATGTAACTAAACTTACTAATGGTACAATAAAGCTTATATGAATTGATATATTTATGTTTAAATAGATTTATTTTTAGACATTAGATACTCGCACATCGTGAGACTGATATAAGTACAATTATATTCAACATAAACATATACATAGTCATTATATTCTTTTATAATACATTTATAGGAGTATTTGGAACGAATAATGTGGAGCTCGAGGCATTCTGTCAAAGCACACAACGAATATGATTCCCATATCTCGCAAGTCTTTTATAGCTAATGCGAAGGCTTCAAAAGTTATATCGAAGAAGGCTGTGGAAATTGTGCTTTGACTTTAAAACTGCGCAATAATAATATACATACATGCATGCACGCACTCACTCACGCACGCATGTACATACATATACATATTTATGTATGCATTATGTATATGCTTCTTTATTATATATTTCTTTAAAACTTTGTACGATTCCTTGGAATACATCGTTACTTCGGTTTTGTAAGGATACATTGTCCAAATATGACTTTCAGTTTGAGGAAACCTGTGTTTTTGCTTTTTATCGGTAACAAATATATGAAAATTCTTTGATTATAGAATTTGAGACTTAGAGAAAATTTATATCGCACAAAACTATCGAGTGATGGAGTTCGTCTCATCCTAGAACACTTTCGCCAACTTGCCATTAATCTAATAATTTCGTTTATGATGAAACTCATGCATTGGTAGTGTCACAATTGAAATTGATTATAGATTTTAGATAGAACACTGTTTCTACGACACTCAACAAGTTATATATGTATGATTTATATTGTTTATACCTCATTACCGTACGTATCACTCATTGTGGAACAGCTCTTAAGACATTGTTAATGTAAAGATTGAGCTTGCTATTTAACGTTAAGTTTTAGTGGTTTTCAAAAGTATACAAGATAATGTCAAAAGAATTTTAAATAAAGCCAAATCAATTATATATTAGATTATTTTTATCTTTTATTGTCTCTTAATTGTAAACAGATCCACAATGAGTTTTGATTTATCTGGCATAAGGTTTGGCAATTGAGTCTCTCTCTCCATGTTCTTTAACTTTATCTGCAGGTGCTTGATCATGCAGAGAATATATAATGTAGAATATTTAAAATATATATGAGAAACTATTCTCAACGCATTGAATACAGTCATTGAGAGAAACCAGTTTAAACTTTATTAGGCATTTATTTGAAACAGTGTAAAGCTGCATTTGGTTCTTGACCCGCAATTCTTACAGCTAACTAAAATTGTTACGATGACATGAGCATTTATAAATAAATCTGTGTAATCTATCATAAAAATATATTAATATATTATTTATAAGTCAAATATAAATCTTCATTCGAAAGATCGATATAATATAATTGCATTATTTTAAAATATTATCTTTACTATAAAATATGTATCACAACAAAATATACTTTAGACATCTTTAAAGTGCTTCAGAAAAAAACATTATCTTATATAATCTTTAACGTTATATGGTACATTTAATATACGATTATAATATACTTTCTTAAAATTATCGTTTGAGCTTTGAAATGTAAAGAACAAGTCGTATTAAACATAGACACATGTTCGTGAAGCATTGTGCATTAAGAAAATCGGGCTTCATTGTGCTTATGGCAAAATGAATATTGTTCGACTTGAAGAACAACTCGAGAATCTTAATGTACAATCTTAACGTACGACGGAAGATTGTGATATGAGTCATCGTCGCAAGGCCATGATTCAACGTAAAAAGTCTTATCGCTTCGAAGGGATGAGATGATTACGATAAGAATTATCGTAAAGGTAGCGATGACGATAGCGATTCTGGTGCGTGAGGCATAAGTCACTCTCGTCCAGGCGACAAACAGAAGACTTTGAAAGGGTTGGCGAATGATAAGGGATTAGCATAGCACCCTTAAGACAATACTTTAACCACGAGGAGTCGGCCGAATACTTTTCTTGGCATATTTTTTCAGTCTCGAATGCGAACCTCTCGAGGCAATCGTCTTGATCCTAAAACAAAGTTCAACAAATGTCCTTATTTATTTTGCCCGACTTTGTCTAGCTTTTTTTTTTTTTTTTTATCCAATCAAATGCACACGCGGGCATTGGAATTGTTTAAGAAAATGGAAATTATCTAATTGATCAAGTCGACGAAGTGTCTCAAATCAAATGAACTGATTGTTAATGTGCAACAGTAGAGTCGACATCGTATAAAGTTTTTAAAAATGCTGATATTCGTCACGAATTTGAGGACAGAAAATCGATAAAGTCGTTTGAATGAATCTATAAAATACTTACACAAGAATTACAAATATTATATAGGACGCAAGGAACGAGCAACAATTGTTTAACATCGCCAATAAGAGCTCCGATCATCTTGCAACGCCTTTCAATCAAATCTATTTGCAGGCAACTGCTTTCGTCATCAATACCTATCATCACAAATATAATATGCTTACAAAAATGTTCAAATACATAAAAAAAAAAAAAAAAAAAAATGCTTTAATGCATGCAACAATGCTCCCTCTACTATTTTCAATATCGTTATAAATACAACAAAATAATCAAATAATTAATATATTTGGTCGAGCGAAGAATCAACTTATTTGCGCAATACGTTTTTAAAAATACTACCCTGCATCGCGTCTACATTATTTCTGGTGCGCTTGTCTTCGTTCTTATTGACATTAGCACTGTTAGGATGATTTAATGTCAAATTATTTTGAGCTTGAGCAGCTCTCTGACTTTCTCGCTGCGCAGCTGCATTGCTACTCAGTTGTTTGAGAGCCCGTCGAAGTTTTTCAAAGGAGTATGCGGCCGACAGTCGTGACATAATTTCGTCCTTTACTTCTTGACTATCCACGTTGTTTTTCAAACCGACCTCCATTGCCTCCTCGATCATTTGATTCTTCATGTTCTTCAATTTCGAGTCCATTTGCTGCAGCTTGTCACGCTTCTCGCCCCCATCTTTATCAATAAGATTAAGATTTTCCGCCATTGTCTGCGAGACAAAGATTAACAATATTAATGTCAATTGGTCTTTCTATAACTTTAAGCAGTTTTGTAAATTGATAAAAATAGAGAGAAAAAACTGTATGTGAAAAAACCTCGTAATATTTTTGTAAAAGATATTCCTCGTCCTGATCCTGCGTATCTGGTCTGCCCATGTAAACTGTCTTCTTCTTCCTTCGATCAATTCCAAAATACTGCGACCAATCTACACTCTTCTTTTTAACGTCGATGGGGCGTTCCTTCGTTTTATTAACTTTGGCCATATTATCCTTCAAATTTTTAGACTTTGCAGTGGAATTCGATGTCTCGACATTGGAACCCTGAGTTTGCCCAGAGTGGCCGTTACCCTTTACACGATCGTGATTATGCTCATGGTTATGATCATGAGAATGATCGTGATTGTGATCGTGGCTCTGATCGTGAGTATGATTAACAGCGCTTGTTGATTGTGTGCCAAAGAGCGATCCTAGATCTTCCGCCACCTAATGCAATGTAAATAGATTTTTATCAGGCAATCAGTCATTTTATAATGAAATCTAGAGAGCGAAAAAAAAAACATACAAAAAAGAGCTATAAAAAAGTAAAAATATTCTACGGGACTTAGTAGATCGCTATGAAAACAATATAATAATAATTCATACTTCAAACGTGCATACGTACCTTTGGATCGGTAACTTGTCTCTTTCTATTTACGGCTTTTGCGCTTCTTTTGAAAACGGGAAGTCGTTTAAATGAATCGTGATAAGTCTTATATTCTCGATTGAATAGCGGATATCTAGCATTAACATTTCGTCGTTCAGCTGGCGAAATTTGCACGAATCTTGGTTCTTGGCTCTCCTCGCGATTTTCGTCGCTAAAAAGCTCTCTCAATAATAGCTGATCGCCCCTAAAAGTTCCAAGAAACATTATTAACTTTTTCAAAGTAAATATAATAAAGTAAAATTAATTAACACGCAAAGAAGTGACTTGATTTAAAACAAATTACCCGTAAGCTTCGTTATCCGGTTGAATCTTATATTTATCATAAATCATCTCAAGAGCTCTTTGATAATCTTGATCGTCCAACTCTTCTTGATCATGAGCCAAATCGTTTTCTCCACCATCCATCAAAATTCTGGCAAGTTCCTTCTCATTGAGCATGCCATGATTCAAATTAGCCGCTCTTTTGTAATTAGCGTTTCTCTCGCGTTCGCGAAATACTGACTGAGACGGCACCTCCTAAAATCATGTTATTTAACAATTAAAGCGTCCTGTGTTAATAAAGTCTTGATATTGATCGCGCTATGAAATTCATAAATTAATTTGATCAAACATCATTTCCTGCATAATAAAACAATTATACGTACTTGATCCGTGACGTACTGCAAGTAATCCATTAGAGCGCGATTGAATTGCTTATTATTCAAGTGCTGATAACCATCTCCGATGGTTTCTAGTTGACCTGTGCCCTCTAATGAAAACAAGATAATCATAAAATAAAAACAAAACAAAAAAAAAAAAATAAAATGAATAAAGTAGTATTTGGTAACAATAAAATTATACAGTTGTAAAGGAAAAAGTAATTTCCTTGGAAGAAAGGAATTTACATAATAATCTTACAATCATGATGAGCAATTACGACAATAACTTATTGAGTTCTTAATAAAGTGAGTTTATTTGTTTTTGAAAATTGTACAAAGCTTCTCACGACTACTATATTATTAAGGCAATTTAAATTACATCATTAATTACATCATTTGAAATACATTGTATTGTAAATCTTGTCTGTTTGTTTTTTTTCTTCTTCATTTTCTAACGCGATAATTAAGGTGACAAATGTCATTAAAATCATGGCGCGAAATAAAGAGGAAAGCGATTAATTAATAGTGAAATGATATCGAGTAAACTCGTTGGACGTGTAGCAACGTTTAATGTTTAGAAATTGCAATTACCGGATGGAATGAATGCCAGACTATCCTTGTTGTCATCGATTTCATCGCTCCCAACCTGTTGCCGTTGAAAATTTCGCTCGCCATTATCTTCTTGATATTTGAATAATGGCAAGTCGTCGTAATACGCTTGAGGATTCGTATTCAATGATCTTTGCTTTCTTGTCACTGCATTTAATGCAGTTCTCAGCGACTCCTCGCTCATTTGATGGGGCACGGGATTTAAGGCGGCAACCAGCCCCAAACCGACCAGGAAAATCCAGTACATCAGTATCATCGTCTGATTAATAAAGTAAAGTTCACAATTTTATTTGATTATCATTTTATTCTACTCGTCAATTCAATTGTCAATTGATTAACATGTTCTTTGCATTTATATCGTCGTGCAAGCTCTACAATTGCTTCGTAATAATCAATATTATAACGAAGAATGCAATTAATTATTCATTCGACGGAATGATCGAGCGATAGAATAAAATGCGTACGAATGGGGGAGATAAATATTAAATTGTTCATTGAAATATTGATTTCGAGGAGAATCGTGTTGAAAGAAAATTTCAACATAGTTCAATTACTAACGAGGATTTTTTTTCTCCGCAACCGCATCTATTGTCGCGCTGTTCGCATAACTTTCATAGCGATTACATATCCATACTGATGTAATTTATAAAATAAGAACTTTTCTTTACTTCGATTACCATTAAATTTATTTTAAAGTAAAAATATCATTATAAGGTGAAGAATTTTTTTTTTGTTCATTGCGTTGTCGCTCAATTCATTGTAACAATCGGCGGCTTATTGAACGTAAAATAATGCAGTGTACTAATTAAAATAATTTGTCTTTTTACATGGATTGATAAATAATTGAATCTTATAATTGCGAACTGTGCCGTTGAACTTCCCTTGTTGATGTGTTCCCTTCTTCATAAATACGTAAATGCGCATAAATTTTGTATTAAATCGAGTAATCGAAAATTTCTATAATAAGGAGTAAGTTCTGTCGGCTTATTAATAATTAGACAAATCAGCAACATATCCATTCGATGAATGTTAATCTATTTATCAAACGTTAGCAAATAATCAATAAATTTCTAAAATTACAAAATGCTTTTTTTACCCCATTTAATACTATTACGCGTACTTGCGTGTCGTTGATTATTCGTAAACGTTAGGGCTAAAATAAAATATTATTAGTAATGAAAAATGCGCGTTTATGTATTTACTGGCAATGAAATAAAAAAAAAAAGAAAAAGTATATTTATCATCGATACTCGCACGCAGACAGCATGCTTAGAAATCTCAATAAAATTTATAATCTTCATTTTTATATTATATTCGAATCTACAATGACTTTATAATGTTTATCAATAAAAATGTCATCGTTAAAATAACATTAAAAGATTAATAGACAAAAGCTTAAAAATCACACGCTCGGTGAGTCGAGCAGCCATAAGAAGCAGAAAAATCTTGGATGCTGTGCTACGGCTAAAGTCCAAAGGAATAATTAATTCACACGATATATTGGATAAATGAAAAAGGTCGAGAAAGGATATTATTCATTTTCTTTATGATACAAGACAGACAGCAGTGAACGTAAATTTCAGATACAAGCAGTAATATGCTCGGATAAAGGAAGAGAGTGACGGAGTATGTTCTAACTTATATTACAAATTATAGATTTATTGACGCCATCTTTGAAGTAAATGACGCCAGAAGCTTGATTATTATGCCCCATTACTTTGCTAGATACCGGAGCCACACGGTGGTGCCCAACAGAGGCTGCTGCCATCCAAGCGGTCATACGTCATAGGAGGGCATATATCATTGTCGCTTATACTATACTTACAAACCCCACCCCCGGAGTCTTTCAAAGCAGGAATCGAACAAATTTACCGAGAAGGCTCTTCGATATAAGTGGCACGAATTATCATTGCGCGAAGCTAACGTCACCGGTAATCTTCGGCTTGTTGGGCGACAAGATAACGAGTGCGCAGACGGCTTATAATGTGCGTGTATGTATGAAAATAATACTCACTCGGCTTCAAATATTCATTGACGGTGCGACGACAATCTGACTCGAATAAAGGGCAAAAACTGCAATGTGTATATATATATATATATATATATATATATATATGTATATGTTATCGGTGTGGAGTATAACGACAAGCCAATGGAAGCTCCAGCGAGGAGGGAATGTCTTGCTCTGCCTTCGGCCAACGCGGAATTCGTGAATTTATATGGAAAAGCTCGGGATCGATAAAAACGCGCATGCCGAGTCGTCCGGCGCAGCAACAAGTTACGTACGCGCGGGGTGTGCCTGCAAAGAAAACAATTGCCATCGAGGATGGCCGAGACGATGAACCGAGCCCTTGGCCCACGACGGCTCTCCTCGATCTACCCATCGGCCCCGTCCAAATCACTCTGCGTCTCGTCGGCGCGCCCAAGCCGCCCGGAGATTTTAATCTTGAAAATTTTGACGGGCGACCGCCGTCACTTTCTCTCCTAATACTTATCCGGCTTCGAACGATGAGTTTTCCCCGTGTCTGTCAATCGAGCGCCACTCATTTCCCCGGCGTTAATTGAAACGACATTTATTTGTCGTCCCGCCGAGAGTGAGTGAGGCCGTGCGCCCTTCCAAGGAAGATTATCTTCATCTTCGCGAAATGCACAGTCATTTGTTCACGACTCTTATACTCCACTCGAATAATATGCTGTGCTTTTCTACAACGATTCGCCCTTAAATTGAATCTCGCCACGGCTTTACACCAACTTTGTCGCTTATCGAGATAATGGTGAAACAAAAATATCCCAAATAATAGATAAAAATCATCTTCCTTTAGCTTCCTAATCTTAGCTGAACTGAGAGAGAGAGAGAGAGAGAGAGAGAGAGAGAGAGAGAGGGAGAGAGAGAGAGCGAGAGAGAGAAAAGTGTGCGCGTGTGCGCGCGCGCGCGTGTGATAGAGGCGGGGATAGCGCTTGGCGGGACGTTGGCAGAGAGGGAAAGGGGGGGGGCGGACAAGAAAAGAAATAACATTACTCCCAAATAACCCTTCGAATTCAACTATTTGTACAGTTTCAATTAAATTCTTTTAAATTAAACACGCAAAGTCCCAACTGTTAATCAAGCTCTGTATTCTATGGCGTCGACTATCTTATTCGGTCAAAATCCCTGTCCCGCTCCAACTCAAGCTTAAATAACAAAATAATTTATTTATTAACCAGTGCTGGCCGTGCAGATTAGAATTATAAATATGAATTATTTATTGATTAAAAGATAGCGATTGAATTCCGCTTTAACTAAAGATTGATAGTGCTTATCGAATGCCTGATAAGCAGACAAACCTCTAATATTCTAGTCAATCAGTCGTGAAATGAGGATCATGTCAAAATGACACAAAACTACAATATATCTAAAGTTGATTGCCCTTCACCCACGGCAACTAATCCGTCGGGTAATAATTATTATAAGACAATTAATAATCATCAATAATTATTAGTAATTAATCATTATCGTATATTTAAAATATTTCCAACGACTATCTAAGCTAAATTTTGTGATTGATTTATGAGTTCGACTGCCAAGTGGCATACGTATATTTTGTTAAATTTGATCATATATCAAACGAATTTCTTTTAGGACATCAAAATATATCAGGGAATATTCTAGATGACGAACTTTGTTTACCACCGATCTATACAAGTCCTTCTATCATCACAATTCAGCCTTCCAGTTTAAGTGGTTATTATTACTTTTTATGTAACTCAATAATACTGAAAAGTGGAAATAAGTGTTATTTTAATGCACTAAATATTTAATTGAAATAATTAAAGTAGTAAACGTACCACTACCTTATGTACATGCATTTATATTTAAACAAAGAATATAATATTTTTGAATTTTCTCTTACATATTTGAATATCAAGTGCAATATAGCACCTTCATTTCGTAAGTTTATAATAATTAAGCATACGAAACGATGCCAATTAGATAAAATAGAGTACAAACACTATAATAAAAATAGTTTTATCATAGATGATCATCGATCATCCCGACGGCCTATTCCAATCGCCGCCTTAGATTGGATTTCAACGCCACGATCGCAACTAAGTATCTTCTCTGGAATATATTTCTTAGCTAATGTCGAACAACTGGAAATTCAACAAGTAGTAGACTTAAATACGTGTACGTATGAGCAATATTTATAACTGCGAACAAATTAATAATGTCTCTTTTTAAATGCACATACGCCGAGACGTATTAATAAGACATAACGTATATTCTGTAGTACTCGGGCGATCTGAGAATGGATCGCAGTATCGAGTTAAAGTATCCAGAGCGGAGACAATATTTTTAGCAATTGAAGATTCCCAAGCTTATCAGCGTAGACTTCTAAGATCCTCGAGAGAGTTAACTCTTAACGTTATGGACACCTCGGGAGAAACTGCTTTCATTATTAAGAAAAGTTTGAGTTGTGGATATTTGCCTGGATTTTTGCCCGTAAGTGATTTAATGTAATTTAATGTAAGCTTGTAACAGATTTTAATCTAAACTACGCAACACTCGTGCTAGCATAAAACTATAAAAATGCAGAAACTTATTTCTTTCGGCCGGATCGTTATTACTGAAAAATTCGTTATTTAAGCAATCCTTTAAGAAATGCGACCTTATATAGATAATTTGCTATTTATTGATCATTGACGAAACGTCGACGAGCTTCGATTGGCACTTTTAACTTCATTAAATTACTCATTAGATAAGTGATAATTTTTATTTTATTACACTTTATTAGCTATGCTTTGCCAATGAACACAAAAAAAAAAAAAAACAAAACAAAATCTTACAAGATTATATTAATTCCCTATTATCGTTTTAAATAATCTCTAATTAATTATCTTACTTTTATTTTCAAGGGAGAAATATTGAGCAGTATGGTATTTATGTAAATTACTGTAAATAAATCTTTCGTACATCAAACAATTTTTACTTAAAAAATAAAGACTTCTTAAATTATCCTGTCTTAGATGTTAAATCGAATATCTGGATTTCATCAGTGAAGTGATTACTCGGATAAAATTAGCTTTTTCATGTTTTAGTATAATTAGATTTTACCAGTTATTTTTAAAGCAAAAAAAAAAAAATTATAAATAATTAATAAGCAAATTATTTACATATCTAAATAACTTTTTTTTTTTTTAGTACTAGATTTAATTTCATCATATACTAAGTATAATTACGTTACGTTTTTTTTCTTCTTCTTATTATAAGGGATAAAATAGTAAAGGACTGGGATTGAACCCAAGTAAATTTTTTAATAATAAATTTTTCACAATGACGTGACAAAAGTGATCTTTATTATCAAATATATTCAAGATATCTTTTAGTCAATATTTTTACACTAGTAAATGTAAATGGGTTAACAATAATTGCACTATATATATATATATATATATATATATATATATATATATATCATTATTAATTTTTCATAGTACACAAATTCGAAAATCTGTCCATGTTTCTTTATATCACATTGAAATTGAAATTGTATTTTATCTTATGTGAATAAAAGTTCACAAAAATACAAAAAATGTTATGTATACTTATTATTTATATTTGATATTTAATTTTTATGTCACTTTGAAACTCAAACTGGAATCTTATATATATATATATATATATATATATTATATATATATAATATAAATTATATTTAAAGCATATAATCAAGTTGAATAGCTGAATAAGAAGTGAATGGGGGTCTCAATATGATAACATCACATAATATTGATCTTGACGTCATTTCGGATTATGTTGTACTATTTCTAATTACTAAATATATGCTTTATAACGTAAATTAATTGACTAAATTTTCTGTTATTTTATGCAAGATGTAAATTAAATGTGTTAATAATTTGAATTAAAAAATCTTAAACTAACCTTTATCTTTAAGACCGATACAATTACATTATTATTTAAGTAAACTAATAATATAGAATATTTTTCAATTTTACATAATTAATTTTATACATTTTGGTATTGAAAAAATTGCATTAAAAATACATAAAAAAAAAATAATAATAATAACGGATATTCAGTCAATGTAATTATCTTTATATAATCGCTTTAAAACAAATGTTTAATTAAAGTTACTCGAAACATTACTATGTCACTCTGTGGCTCATTAAGCGATAAATAAGTCGCTCATTCATATTATTAGTAGCTATAGACGAACTATTGCATTTTTGAATAAACAGATTATTAACTGAGGCTAATAAATGCATTATTCATGCTGGGAAGTTTCATGCCGATAAAGGTATCTATTAATGCTAAAATATGCAAAAAATGTTTAATTACATTTCATGATTGTTTCAATGTTTCACATTTTATGCGTAATTTCGAATGGTGTTTGTTTATAAATTAAAAATTATAAAGATAATTTTTTTACTAGAATGTAGTTGCGCGTAAAGTCAAAGAGAGAAAAATTTAAACTATTTATCAACGTAACGAAATAGCTTTGTTCGAATGAGAACTGCAACCGTTCAGCAAAAATTTTGCAGAGTCTTAAAATCTGTCGGCATTATTGAAAGTATATTAAATTAAGGCATCGTCGACAACAAAATAAATGTATAAATATCCTGGATAGTTGCCCAGCAGGAGTGAAATATAAGTGCACGAATAGAAGAAACCTACTAAAAAACTTCCTATATAATCCTAACGTTAACATGACGTCGTATATGTCATTGTAAATAATATATCGTTGAAATTTAAAACAAAAATGAATCAAAATGAAAGTAATTTTGATAATTATTAACCTTTACTTAAATAGCAAAGCACAAGAATTACGTAATTGTGCAAATATTGACTTCTACGACATTATATGCAGTATTTGCATACCGACGTATAAAATACAATATCTTTATTATAAACCAGCAATGTTGGAATGGGCGATTTAAGCTGCTACGGCATTATATATATATATATATATAGAACCACGCGCGCGCGGTTATTATTATTATTATTGTTTATTTATTTATTTTATAAAATTATTTCTATTCTGCAGAAGATCACGGTCGAGTCCACAGATTTTATTGGCAGCGTTGAGCAAAATTTCACGATTATCGGCATCAGCTTTACCGTCTATAATGATTCAAGAACGCCAATTTGTTACATCAATGGGCCCAATGTATATGTCCAACGAAACACAGTTTCAGGTATGACGAGCGAAAAAAACTTTGTAATGAATTAATAAAGAAGCACGCGGAACGACTTGCTACCGCCGACTGCACGTAGTGTAGAAATTGTATTATAAACGATATAATTACATTGTCGTCGCTTTTCTTACATTACTCGCAAAAAAAAAAAAAAAAAAAAAAAAAAAAAATTCAATCGCTCTTCCCTTCGTCTCAACAGATAGTATCCGTCGATAAAAGCCATCAAATCGCCTCGCTGATACGTCATTGGGATCATGTCCTCGTGGATTATTCCGTGCTGCTCACTTTTACATCGGACACCAGCGTTAAGCTTAAAGGATTACTCCTCGGTGCTGCATTTCTTCTGGTAGTAAACGATGCAAAACTTACGTTCGAGCAAATAATCCATTTGCATGCATACAAATCATGTATAATATATTTTCGTTTCTAGGACTTTCTATTCTTCGAGCAGCAAAGGAGGTGACGAGCATCCATATTTATTACGCACTCTGTAAACATAGAAAAATACTATCAATTTATTAATAAATTGTAACAGCCTTTGCATTAAATTTGTCTCCGTTTATTCACTGCTCGTTGCACCTAGGCGACACCAGGATGAGGCAATATTGCCGCGTCAAAATCCCGCTCCCCGATTCTCCCAGTCCGTCCATGCGAATGTTAGCATATTCTTGGAGTATCGTTGCGGATAAATAGCCGGCGAACTGCTCGATAAAGCGTCATGAATGAAAAGAGCTACCCACCAGGTGACGAGTAAGAGTCGGAGCTCGGCTCTCGATGATCCGAGTACGCAGGCGCGGCCTGATCTGGGCTCCTGGTCGATGAGGCTCGAGGCGCCAATAAAAATTAACCGGGGAGAGCATCGCGTCCCCACAGCCGGGAAGCAACAAGCGACTCACCACGAATGATTCTCAATCTTCATTATCGTGCGGCCGTGCGTACTCACACGTGCGCTACTCGTTGTTGCTCTCTATCTCTCATACACGTACGCACGCACGCACGCACGCACGCACGCACACTCTATGCGTATGCGCGTGCTGTATTTTTTTTTTTTTTTTTTACGTGTGTATGCGTGAGCCCAAAGCCAAATCACCCGGGTAGAAGCGGGGAATACGTCTGAATCCGCGTGACGAAATTGCGCGGAAGCGGGGACACCTGTTAATTAAAGACGACTACTCCACTTTAATTCGCTTGCCTCATCATCTTCAAGATTATTAGTCATTTTTAACACAATAACAATGGTGATACTCATGATTATCGGCACTTGTTTACTACTCTACCATCTCGTCTACGTTCTTTTCGTTAGATTTCTGGACTGTGATATCAAGCTGTTTTTCTACGACAAATTTGGAAAGTCAGCGGGTAATGCCATATTTACTCTATTATATATTTTCTATTTAATATTATTGCTACTGTTGTTATCATTATCATTGGACAGATGATTGCATGTAACATTGTATGTAGCGTTATTATCGAGGCATAATATAACTGTACACTGTAACTATTAAAGACTAAAGACGACATTTATGTTTTTCATTTGACAAATTTTACAAAGAGCTAGCGCGATTCTATATCGCGGATATGAAATATCAATAATAATTGACTTTGTGTAACTTTGAAACAATCATATTCATACGCATTTTAATATTTTACATCGTTAGCATGCTTTAAAAAAATCTTATTACCTATGCGAAATTCGAATTAAATTTCATATTAATTTTTTTTTCGATGCAATGTGCGAGCTAATATAATAGCTAAATAAAGTATAAATAATATATTTTATAGATACTCTGAGTGGCAAAGTTGTATGGATAACGGGCGCGTCTAGTGGTATTGGTGAACATTTAGCATATAATCTGGCTAAAGCTGGCTGTAAGCTTATTTTATCAGCAAGAAGAGTAGTTGAACTGCACAAAGTTAAAAGCAATTGTTTATTAGGTAAGCTATGGTTTATTAATTAATATTAATTCAAAGCAGTAACAGAATATTAGACTTTAAAACGATAATAAATCGAACTTTTAGCTAATCCAAAATTGCAAGATCATGATATACATGTATTGGTTTTTGATGTCAGACTAGTTGAATCTCATGAAAGAATATTTGATAATGTAATATCGATATTTGGTAGAGTAAGTCAAGCACTGTCTATTATTCCACAAACATTACAAACTTTTAGCTTCTCTAATGATATTAATTAACATTTAGCTCGATATACTTGTAAACAATGCTGGTAGAAGTCAACGAGCAAACTGGGAAAAAATTCACATCGGAGTTGATAAAGAAGTTTTTGAATTAAACACATTTGCCGTTATATCCTTGAGTAGATTGGCGATTAAACAGTTCAAACGACAAGGTAGTGGCCACATTGCAGTGACATCGAGCTTGGCTGGGATATTCGGAGTACCATTTTCTGCATCGTACACAGGATCAAAACATGCCATTCATGTAAATTTAAATTATTTTATTGTCAAAGTAGTACGAAGGGGCAAATTTATCGTGTATTCTCATATCCACAGGGATATTTTGATTCCTTGCGATTGGAAAAGATGAGTGAAAACATTGCGGTCACTATTGTCTGTCCTGGGCCGATACAAACAGATTTTCTAGCTGAAAGTTTTACTGAAAATATTGGCGAAGTAAGTATTTGATTTTATATTAAATATTTCAAATTTTTCCTATTTATTCACTGATTAACTATACTTTAGAAATATGGGATACAAACGGAAATTGCATCAAATAAATTGTCGCCTGCCCGTTGTGGCAAATTATTTGCATCAGCTTTGGCTAATCGATTAGACGAAGTCTGGATTAGTAAAGCTAATCCTTTACAATTGACATATTTTGTAAAGTACTATCCCAATATAAGTTCCTTGTGAGTTTTGCAAATTTATTTAATCTTTTGATAAAATAAAAGAGAAAAAAAACGATAGATCCAACGAGTCTAATGAGACGATACGATTTGCTTGCAGATTTATGCCCTATATTGGAACTGCTATTTTTCAACGAATGAGAGACTCGAAAATAACGATGCAGGTACAACAGTAATAGAATACGCTTGTGTAAGAAGCATCACAATATTGATCATTCTATTATAAAAAAGTGCCATACCTTACATTCTAATAATATGCAGCTGATTGGGCAGCTGAGGGAATTTATTTCTAATTTTATATTTATAAACACTATTTTTTTTTTTTTTTGTAATTAAACACTATTTATTTGTTCACATAACATTCTTATTGTCTCTAGCTTCTTTACCTAATAAAATAGCTTGCTTAAATAATCTACAGTACAATTCGACTGCAGATTGGGTATCGTCGTTACCCGGTACAGGATAAGTGATTAAATTAGGATTGCAGTTTGTGTCGACGATTCCTATCGTTGGTATGCACATTTTAGCAGCACTACTAACGGCTTTGTGTTCACTACTAGTATCAGTCAGAGTATTAAGTAATATACAGAGATCGGGTAGCCGGGTTTCTATTCCAAACTCATTCACGGCGTTAGTTAATATACCTCCGCTCCACTTTCTCGTATGAGAATATTCTCCACATTCGATTGCTGTCTTCTCTATCAAATGAGTAAATTGTGGATTTCTTGAAATAAACAATATTATGCCACTTCTGTATGCAATATGTGCCGTGAAATTCAACGCCTCCCTCAAATGCTCGGCTGTCTGATTCAAATCAATAATTAAGTGCCCTAGCCTCGATCCATATATAAATATTTTCATTTCATCCTTAACGGTTCCCTCCTTGTGGCCAAAATGCACCCCAGCATCGAATAAATCCTTTATCGTGAATAATTTGTGTATCTCAAAGTAATCTGGATGTTGTAGTGGATTTATTTCTACTTTTTTCGCTTCTGTCAGGCAAATAAGTAACGAAATTAGAGGAGCTTTTTAATTTTGATATTGATTGCAATATCAACGTAAGATGTGCATCGTTTTACCATTCGGTATTTGAGGTTGTGTTTTAGTTGATAATTTAGAGATCGATGTACCGCTGACACCCATGCATCTTAGAAGATATTCTGCTCTCACAACTAAAAGCGAAAAACAAATATAAATTGTATGTGCGATGGACTAAAATTGAATAAATGACATTTTAAAATGAAGATTATTACGCTTGTTTTTAATGATTGTTGATACTATTGCGGTCATTATGTCTGCTCTACAGCCATAAAGTAATTGCTACGCAAGACTGTCCTCTTCACAAGGCGAATTCATGTATTTACATGGCGTAAGCACCCGGGAGTATGCACTTTTGTCCAAGTTCTGGACACTCTTAATAGGTTAATACGGATAATAATGAATAATGAAAAATAAATAATAAGCATTTCATTAGGAAGGTGCGTGGAGCGTTTTTCATTCATTCGCTTTTTTAAATGAAAAGCTGTGGCTCCGTGGGTACATATGGAAAACGAAGCGAATTGTCGTTTCTAAGTGAAGGACAATTAATCGGCAAAGGTCCGGCGATACAAAATTATTGGACATTTAACGGGACGGTTGAAAAGGAGGAGGAAATAACCGAACGCTAGGAAGATGACGAGAAGGAAAAGGAGGGGAAAAAATCGGTAGCTGAGCGGAGCTGAGATTCGAGAGAGAAAATTATTCGGGATTACGTGAAAGCGCGAAAAGGGTGGTGGCGTGTTTAAAAAACAAATGTTAAACAACGACGGGGTGGCGTTGGGGTTTGGGTCGGGGGAGGGGAGGGGGGGTGGTCCAAAGCGAAGTTGGCCGCGATCGACGAGAATTAAAAGCCCGAATGAGAACGCGTAGAGAGCGGCGGCGGGGGCTCGTCGGCCGCGGAGAAGGGGAGCGGTTAGGAAAAAGGTGCGAGAAGCCGTGAGGGGAGGGGCGGCCATTTTTGGGTCGAGCGGAGCGAGCGGTAATAGTTGTAGTGTAGTAGTAGTACGACGGCGGCGGCGGTGGCGGTGGTATCGTAGATCGTAGGGATTGGCGGCTCCTCTCCGGCTGACAGCTCGATATATCGCTCCATTTAAAAGATGTATAAACAAGTAGTGGCGAGTGCGGGCCGCGATTAAGGAAGCCTGCGCGAGGTCGAGAGCGAGCGAATTTAGTGTCGCCCCTCCCTCCCTTCAACCCTCCCTCCTTTACTCCTCCGCCTCCTCCTCCTCCTCTTCCTCCTCCTTCTTCTCCTCCCTTCCCCGACGAGCTCAGGAGCATCCTCGCTGTGGAGGAGCCCTCGGGCCACCCGTTTGCCTCCTACTCCTCCCCGCGCTCCATTCTCATCCCGCTGTCCGCCCCGCAGACCCACGACGCGACTACGTATACTCGGCGGCGCGAGGTGAGGCTCTCCTCGTCTCTCCTCGTCTCTCCTCGTCTCTCCTCGTCTCTCCTCATCTCTCCTCGTCAACTCCTCGTATCTCCTCACCGTTCGACTTTACTCCTCTCATCACTTCAATCCGCTCCATTCCTCTACTCTACTCGATTCTCCTATCCGCTTCGCTCCGCTCGCCTCATCACGGCGGCTCGGTTGAGAGCCCCTGACCTCGGCGTTGTAGGGGCGTCGTTACTGCGTGCAATGTGTATCAGCGCGTAGGCGTTGCCAAGCCTAGGCCGAACTCCAGGAGCGACAGCGCAGCAGCGGCACCGACGACAAGAGCAACAGGAGGACCGGACACCCGGGTGTCTGGGTCCGGGTAGGCGCTCGCTCGCTCGAGCGTCTTCCTTGAACGTCGCTCGCGTTTAATTCCGAGCTGCGGTTACGTCCCGGCGCGCGCCGACGGAGCCAACAGGGCCACGCGATGCCGCTGAGGCCGAGGCGCCTGACCGGGAACGCGGCCCGCCGACCGGGAACCTGCTGCGAGCCGATCGGCCCGACTCATCAGCAGCCAGTCCAGGAGGCCCAGCAGCTCTGAGACATCGAGACGGTGATCGCTCAAGCGAGTGAGCGTGAAATAGAAAGAGAGAGAGAGAAAGAGAGAGAGAGAGAGAGCGAGAGTGAGCGAGAGAGGAGAGTGAGATAGAGGGAGTGAGAAAGAAAGAACGGGACAGACAGTTGGCAAGGACGAGTCCGGAGGACACGCCAGCACGCAGGGTACGTTTCTTTTCCTTCTTCGTATTCTTATTTCTCCGCCTGTTCTCTTCCTCCTTCTTCACCGCACCTTACTGCTATCTTTCACCGGGACGGGAGTGCGAGCGGGGACCGAAGGGAGCGGACAAGGACGGAGAGCTCCGTCCGAGTGTACGCTCGCTTTCTCCACGCGTAAGCCTTCCTGGCTCACTACGTTGGCCTTCCGAGGCGAAGAGGGCGGGACCGAAGAGCGAGACCGGGACCGGGACCGGGACCGGAGAACGCTACTCGCTCATTCCGACTCTATCCCACCGCTTTCCCTGGCCATGTGCGAGCGGATGGCATCGAGCCGAAGCGCTGCCCTTGCATCCGCCAAAACTGTCAAATCCTAGCTAAATAGCTTAGGACCAGGTTGTGGTCAGGACGAGGACGGAAGGGATATTTTGTGCGCATACAAGTGTTGACGGGCGGGCGCGCGTGCGTGCGTACGCGTACGCGTACGCGTACTCGTGCGTGCCCGCGCCCGTGCCCCTGCGCGTGTGCGTGTTCGTGTGCGTGCGTCCGTGGGCGTGCGGTAACGAGGGTGCGCGACCAAGGGACTTTCGATGGAGAAGGGTGTCGAAAAGTCCTGAAGGAGACGAAACCTTGGCTCGGTCCCTGCGTCGAGCTGGAAAAGCGTGCGGGAAAGGTAGATGGCGCTGCTCCCACGACTTGAACACTACGTGCCTACACCTTATGGAGCATAGTAGTACACGAGAGAGCGGGAGAGAGAGAGAGAGAGAGAGAGTGTGTGTGTGTGAGAGAGAGAGAGTGTGTGTGTGTGTGAGAGAGAGAGAGAGAGAGAGAGAGAGAATGGTAATACGAGAGTCGTACCAAACTAAACCGAGCCACCCACCCTGACTATTCTTTCATGAATATTTTATTGGCCGCCTGGTATTCGGTAATTATGCCGAAAGATGTGTGCCGGCGAGCCGCCTGGATAAGTACGTTGCCCCCGGGAGGAGACTCGTCCTTCTTCCCGGTTCACATCGCCGTCGAGATTCTTGTCATTCTTTCGACGTGGACGCGGTTCTCTGCCTATTATTTATTTGGATTGCTCGCTGACCGACTGGAGGGGGTTGTTAGCCCAACGGCGACGTGGCCCGCAAACCTCGTACCCCAAACACTCGTCACGGGCAACAAATATCGTAACAATTTTGAGAGATGCGCACGAATTTTTCGCTGCCCTTTCCCAACTTTCGAATGTCGATCGATTTCATCAGGATGACCGGTAAGCTATTGGCAACGAAGCTCCGATCCAGATGCTCGCACCGATGCTCGACCACTTGTTTTATCGCCATTCGATGAGCCTGTACAATCGAATTCTCTCCGTTCTCGGAATCCCTTTAATATTTTTCAAGAAATTTTCCTGCCGCCCGGAATAATTGACCTCGTGCAATAGGACTCCAAGAATTTAATTACTGCCTATTGGCCATCCAGCCAATAACCTTGCCAGCCTCTCTTCCCATTTTATTTTTATCTTTAGGTATATTTGTTTTTTTTTTATTTTCAACTTTTATACGCTTACTACTACTTTATAAATTCCGCGTGATTATTTTTAAATTAAGCTTAGTAATCGTATGTTACGTCGGGTCACTTTTTAATCCACTCATCTGGGTAGAATAATTTGTTAAATACAAGTTACGGCATGCCTCTTTTGAAAGTGCCCCCTCTTTTTTTCTTCTTCTTTCATTTAGTTCTTTTCTATAAAGTTAACGATAATATAGTGGCCTACGAAAAATGATGCCTTTTGATTAAATAAATAACGTAATGACGACGCTTTGCTATGGATGTAATCAGTACTTTATACGCAACCACCTCTTGATTATTAAAGGGTAATAATAAAATTTAAAACTTCAAAATTCATTTAATGGCTTTGTGAGAATGTCACTGCTCTACATACGAAATGCCCCTTGAAAATTATTGAAAGCTACAAGTATTAAATAAATACTGTAAAATTTAATTTCAGTATTTTCGCTTTAAAATTTCTGCTACATATGTGCTTTTATATTACTCGATTATTTATGGAATGCTTAAATCGAATATATATGAAACCTAAATTTGCAATTGAATAACGGAAAATTTTTCCAATATACTTCCGTTGGAACAAATAACAAATATAGTGACATGTAGCCTGTGCGTGCGTGCGTGCGTGCACGTGTATTGGACATATACACGATTGTCGAATGGCAAATTTTAACCAAAAACATTGCATATGTGTTTTAAAATACCTATCCGTTATTGTTTTTTAAACAAGTTTTTCATTTAACTGAAAATGACTTTACGGTTTTGCAAAATATTCCTAAATTTCATATAATTACTAATAATAGCTGAATAATTTATACATTTTTTCTCTCTATCTATTACGAATAAATGTAATCATTTCAATAACGCTTCAATAATATGCTTTAACGATCGCCTTTACTATTTATTGCATTTATCGCCGAGTAGTATTTTACTTGATTAACTTTTGAAATATCATAGAAAAGTATTTATGAGCGTTTGATAATTGTTGTCGTTATGGATAATTGAACGTAGAAGTTGAGCGATTACAGAATGATTCGGAAAAAAAAGGAGAAAACAAGCAGAATTTGGAAAATTTACGACTACTTTTATGTAATTATATCGCGCCAAGTGTTCAAATAAGTCGAATATATTTATTGGTCACTGGAGATTAGACGAATTATGCGGTGTATGCACTTCCTATGCAAATCTCGTTATTCACCATCTAAGCGCAAGCCTGGCATTAGAATATCGATGACACTTGTCACGATGCTAGCATGTACCGTATCTTCCCTCCCCCTCCCCCAACCCCTTTCGTCATCCCTTCTCATTTTCTCCTCCTCCCCATCCCGTACACGTCCAACGCCGCCGCTTCCCAACAAAACTCTTTCTAGGACTAGGGCGTGCGACGCATATATGCAAACAAAACGCTACAAGTGCATACGTCTGAGAGCGTCTCGCTTTCATCGACGTCTCGGGGACGACAACGTTACTAATTTGAAATTGCGAAAAGCAAGTGGCGTTGGCCATTATTCGCGATATTCCCTGGCTATGTGTATGTCGGGATACGATGCTTTAGGATGAATGGAGGCGGGCATTTCTTTTAAATCAGAAAGTCAAACGTTCGCTGTCATTATTTTCTCAGGTTTTCTCCCTCTTGGAATAACGAAAGTAGGGCTTCTTAAGTAGGCTCGCGTGTATTTTCTCGGTGCCTTAATAACGCATTAACGAGCCAAAAAATACTTTGTAAACTCATTGGCTTAATTGCTACGATAATTAATTATAATAGATCAAAGCTGCTTCGTATAATCGAGCATAATTCTTTCTTAATTATATGAAAAACATAATTGCATGTATTGAATTCCAAGTGCATTTTCACTTTAATTTGTTATATTCGGATGTTGCGTATCGTTATTATTATTATATGCCGCGTGCTACTTTCAATCGATATTTCAGTTAACTATTGCCGATATGCATAAGTATTTCGTTAAAAAAATAATTTTCAAATGCCATATTCAATGCACGATTTTTCATTAGTTTTTTTTACCCCGGAGAAAGCTAAATATACTTCTTTCCCCCCCCCCCCCCGTTGAATTTAAATATCTAATAAATAGTATAAATGTACTTATTAAATAATGTATTTTGTCAAATTTTATATTAATTTAAAGAAAGCTAAACAGGTTGATGGGAATGAAACTCGCGTCTATTTAGCTAAAATCGATGCTTATAGAAATATATTCATATTTTCATTTCGTTAAAATAAGTTTAAAAACATAGTAGCGCAGTATTAAAAATTACATGTTTATACACAGACTTACACGTAAATAGATGCAATTAAGACTCCGGGCTACAATTTTAAGATTTCCGATTTTTTATTATCGTACAAAACATCTTCTTTTTATGTAAAATTTAGTAGTAATTTTAATGGACTTTTATAGATTCTACAGTTTTTCTGTAATATCGCGGTTATTATGACCGTTTCATTAATTCTTTTTCAGTAATATACACTATCCTTCCTGTTGATTTTAACCGTAGCTCGCTGCAGATAAATGAAACATGATTTATTAATCGTCCGTGTGCCCGAAAAAGTATACATTTTTTGCGATACGGAAATCAGGCAGGGATCCGCAGAAAATTCATAAAATCCTTCGTATCGACTCCTTATAATGTTGTCCTTGTAATGTGCTTTTTCCAAGAATATTTGTTTCTCACAAATCATCGGTTTAAGTTGCATTTCTGCATGACGTCTACTCTCCCGTCTCGATCGATGGCACTTGCGTGAAAAATTCAACGGGCATTTTTCCCCGACGAGCATTACTCTTGAAGAAATGGAGGATCCGTCGGAGGGCAGATCCGTCATTAGCAGCTGCTTATAGTTGGCCAGGCAAAAAATAATTTACTCTGGACTGTAATTCAAGCCGAAAACCTAACCGGGAGAGAGAGAGAGAGAGCGCGTGAGAGAGAGTGAGAGAGAAAACGTAGGCAGCGCTTCCAGGTCTGTTTCATCCTCTTGCCGTCCCCTCTCACGTAATTCACTTGAAAGTCCGGCCGCGCGCGAATTACGGTTTGGAACGCTTCCGCGTGTCGCATGCATTTGTGTTTTCTCTTTGTAACCCCCCCCCCCCATCCCCCCCCCACCCCCCAGACTCACCCCCCTCCC